AGTATTAAGAATTGACCTCTTTCTTTGTCTAACCATCAATTTGAACAAGATTTGTAGGAAGTTAATTTACATTAAATCTGTCCAATAAATTCAAAAGTTACTGAGGGGAGAATGCACTCCTCCCGGATGAAATACACCATATTGTTTTAGGAAATTGAACTAATAATCCCATAGTTGATATTTATATAGGGCTGAACTTTGCTATCAGCAAAAGCTGCGTTTGTAATTTGTAACATACACCGTAAGAGACGCAGCACAGTTAAGAGAAAATTAAAGGTTCTCTACTCTCTTTCTGTCTTTTCTTCACTGTGTGGTAGGATTTTGTTCATTGAACTACGGGCAGCGACAATGAGCAAATGGTGCAAGGTTTGCCCTGGCTTACCTTTCATCAGAAGTGATTCCACTCATCAGTCGAGCACTGGAAAACAGCATTTCATAGTAGTACTGGAATGATAGATTACAGCTGCTGCAAAGGAGAGAATTGAGAGGATTTTGTATTTAGATAATGAACTTTGGTTGATGGCTCAGATAACAGAAAATGACAAACTATTTGTGTTGGTGTCTTGTGCACAACGTATGTTTGACTTGAGTTTTGATATCAGACAGAAAAGTCTAAAAACTTAAACCTGATTTCCCGGTAACTCGCAGTGTTTCCTGCTTCTCTTACTTAAAACTTGGCAACTGGAACCAACAAACCCCAGCTCTAATGTGAAGTGCGTTTGCGCGGCTCACATGGCGTGGGTATGTGCACAGACACCTGCCAAGCTGTGAGGAAGCCTCATCTTCTTGTCAGAGATGTCACCAAGACATTGGATTTTGGGTGGAGCTGGGAAGGATTATATCTCGGGGTGGGGGTGGGGGTGGGGGGAAGGGAGAAATTTTGGAAAATGTGTCACCACTTTATTAACAACTCAAGGCCTAATCACTAGAAAATCTTGTATTTTAAAATACTAAGCTTCTCATTACGAAATCAAAGAAAATTACTTATTGTGAGCTGGTGAAAACGTCTCCTGCTTTAGGGAGATAAGATTCTCTCAGTATCTAGAAGGGCATGACATTTTTCCCATGTTTGATTATATTAAGTATATTAAATATGACCTTAATTTTTAAGGTTGTTCAAGCTGAAAGAGTTCAAAAGATTTTGAATGAGATTTTTTTCAATTTATTTTGTTAAGCCTTTGCAATAATTGTAAATAGTCATTCTTTTAAAGAACAAATAGTGAGAGGTCAAATAATCCTTCCTGTATATATGAGTCTTTATTTCATTACAAAGGGAAATTCACAGGGGAAGAAGTGTAGCTAAAGGTTATCAGAAAGATACTTAAGAAGAATCCTTGGTATTAAAACAAAAAGCTTTAAGCCCAAGAAAAACGTAACTATTGATAATTCGGAGGATAATGATGTATGGAGAATACTAGTTTTCAACTCTAGGTCTTCACTGTTAGAAGGCAGACTCGATTCAATATCAGATACAAGAAGAATGACGTTAGTATTTTTATAGTTCACGAGGGATGATTATCCATCAGTTAGTGATTTGTGATTGGCACGCTTATTTTTAAGTCTAAAAATCAGAGGCAAATTAGCTTAGTCATTCTTTGTGTTGATTCTAGAGTATTGTGAGATAACTAAAAATTGAATTTAGCAAGAGAGCAACAGGTTTTCTACTTCTGCCCATTTTCGTTATTAAATTTTAATTTTTTGTTATTAAATTTTATCACAGGTGTCTGTAGTTTTTTTGCAGCCAATGCTTTGGAGTTCTCTTGCCTTGCATAACAATTGGTGTTATTGTGCCAAATCTTAATGGCCATTGCCAGTAGAGGAATCTTAGCTTCTGTGAAAAATAATCACTTTGCTGCACTTAGGGTTTAAGAGAAACCATGGAAATAGTAAGTCTCGCATACCAGGAAAGAAACCGTGGAAATAGTAAGTCACACATACCAGGAAACAATTAACAAACTCCTAGTCGTTATTTTTAGTAGCGGTATTTTTCCTGGTGGTTTGGTGGTTTGATTCATGAGCTCTTGAGCGCTGGATCCTGGCAGCGCTGTCCGGCGTTGTCATGAGGAAGGGATGTGAGCCCTCCACCTGCTTGCCGTGGCCTACAGAGAGGTAATCGGTAGCGGGAGGTCGCAGACGTGCCCCTTCCAGAAGGTGCCAGGTTTGCTATTTTGAAGTGACGTTCCCCATGCTTTTCAATTTACCCAGCATCTCCTCATTTTTAATAAATGCCCGGGCTGCACGCTTAAGATGGCGTTCTCTATGTGCGTGTTCTCGCTCTTGGCCTCAGCTTTAGGGGCGAGTGTTGGTAAACTGATAAATGTGTGCCCTCACCCTCCCCCCGCGCCTGCGGACCGTTAGGGCCTCCCCCCTCCTCGCGCGCACGGACCGTTAGGGCACCGCCCCGCCCCCCGCGCGTGGGGACCGTTAGGGCACTGCCTCCCCCTCCCCCGCGCGTGCGGACCGTTAGGGCGCTCTCCCGCCACCCGGCGAGCGTTGTGGCCCCACCACCGACCAGCAGCGCTGTGAGGGCGAGGAATTCAGTGTGTTCCTCTTCGCCCGTGCTGGTGTTTCCTCTCAGCGCAACGCAGTCCGGATCTCAGCTGAGACGTTTAAGAGCTACTTGCTATACAGACGATAGATTAGTGCTGTATCTCTCATCTTGTTAATCTCGCTTGAGGTTAAAAGGTTTGTGCCGTAGTTTAAGTTATGCGGTATTGCTGCCGTTTCTTGAATTAATAATGAGCAGAAAGGCACTAAAAGGCCCGTCAAGCGAAGAAGTGTGAACGCGATGGGCTGTTTCATTGAACTGCGTACTCTCCTTTTAGTGGAGTAGAACTGGTTAATTTTTTCCACTGAGAAACATTTTGTACTAAAACACCGTGGTTTAATTTGATTTGCAGGAAACTTAGTATCATTTAAAAGGACAATTCAAAAGTTAAGGTTTGGCATAGAGGATACCGATGCCTTTACAGTTTAAAGAGTCATTTTATTTCTGTATTGTCAAAAATACAGATCAAAACAAAACGACTGTTTTCATTGGGATGCTTAAACTATTGATTCACAGCAAAAGCAATGACTCTAAATCTCTTTGAAACTTCTCACAGGAAAGCCAAAAAAAAAAAAAGAAATCAAGTTCTCCGTTAAAAAAAAGAAATCAAGTTCTCCGTTGCTAGTGCACGTAAGAAACATACTGCTTTTCCAAACAGTGTTAGTTGTTTAAAACTCTCTTAAGCAAACCCATAGTGACTTGATCTGAGAAGTATGTTATTTGAAGACATGATTTTTACTGACAGGATGTAACCTAAGATGGATTTTGCAGAAACCTATGCTGGGAATTTGATCTGTATGTTGTAGGAAACCTGGGAAACCCAGGGCACAGAATAGAGAACAGTCTGTGCAGGAATGTGGCCCAGCTGTGTGATACTTCTGTCCAGCTCCAGAGGGTTCAAAAGGCATTTTTTGTTTTATATTTTCATTTGCATAGAGTGTTTTCTTTCTTTCAGAAGCTTAGAAGGGACCGAAATAGAATATTTGAGTTCACAAAGTTCTGTTTTAAAGTAATGCTGTGCTGGTCTCTGGTGAGACCAAAACAATATACACAGTGTGTGCTGCTGAGTGAGGTGGCTGGCTCCCCCTCTGACTGCCGGTGGGATGTGAGGATTAAGCCAGTACGTTTTCATTCAATTGCTACAGTTTTGTATTCTTCACAACATATTAGGCTGGAGCAGGCTGAAGTCGTACACCTAAGATTGATGTTAAGTGTCATGCCTCTGAGGCTTCTAACTTTTCATTTCCAACTGGCCTGTTTTCTCAGAGGAAAACGTCTCTTAGATTTACATAGTTTTCCTGGAGGAAGCGAGCAAAGAGAGATTTGAGGAAATTGTCCTATATTTGCACTAACACAGGTATATACAACTTAGTGGTGGAAGGGGGCAGAGAGATTTGAAATCATCTGTGCTCTGCAGTCATCAGCAGATGGGCAGCCATTACTCCGCAAGTGTTCTAAAGATGCAGTAAGATGCACAGACCAGCAAGAATCCTCTCATCCTGGTCATAAAGTAAAACTGAAGGTGATACCAAATTAAATGTTGTGCAGGGTGATGGATTCTGTGCGTCTTTTCATGTTTGTTTGAGGACTTAAGGTAGGTGAAAATGTTAGAGATGACTTATTTGATTAAAAAGGGAAAAGCTTTGTCCAACTATTGTCACTTAAAGCTGTTACAGCACAGAAATATGGCAGGATGCAGGCATATTGTCAGATCTGCAGTGCGCGGAGGATAAACACAAGTTTCACTTTCTCCTGCTCTTGTATAACATCCCCTATGAGAAGGCTCCAAGGAGGACAGTAAGGGCAAGTGGCTAAGAGGTATTAGTGTCTTGAACCCATGATCCAAGGCATTGGTGTTTCCCAAAGCTAGAAATCCTCCTGGTTATGTAGCTCCAAGAAGAGTGATTTTTGTTATTGACAATTGTTTGTTTATACCAATTTCTTTTGCTCGTTTCCTTGTTTTACGGGAGTATCATGTAGTCTCATCCCAGTTGTCTTCTGATTATAAGCCTGCTCAAACTCTAAACAGGGTTAAAGACTATTCTCTATATACAAGCTAGGCATTCCACCAAACTCTGCATGCTTTATAAATTCCAGATATGTTTCTAAATAAAAGTTGGGTTTGGCAACACTTTCATCATTCGCTTTCAAATCTATACTAAACTGTTGCCATTGCAATCCGTTTCCAGGTGTTCTGTAGTCCAGGTATCCAGTGTCAAATCTATGGCTGTTGACTTTATACTAGCGGTACTCTGTGCGCTGCCTGTTAATTTGGTCGTTCTTATGCAGGGGACTAGTTTCTTGTTCCTGGAAACAAGAATTCTTTCTTTCTCTTCCCCAGACACCTTCTCTTGCATTCAATGCAAACCGCAAGGAACAAGCTGACCTTTGTGCAATTGTCAATCCGTTTCTCCATTCAAACATGGTTTTCCTTTCCCTTCCTTTCATACAGGTTGATAAAGTGTGTGGACAGCCCAAACAACAAGAAGGGAACCTGTTGTCAGACAATATAGCGCCGGTGAAAGAAGCGACTGAGACCCAGACGCTCGTGATGGCTCACGCTAGCCTGAACAATAAGAGAAGGTAATCATAAGCAGCACTTACTTGGAAATAAACTCTGTTGCCCTCGGCTTGTGCTAATGGTTCCTCACAGAGTAGTGTTTAAGCCAGAGCCACAGTTCTGTTGTCTTGTCTGTGCTCCCTCCAGCCATTGCCATCCCTGATGGCTGTGCAGATGTGTATGTGGTGTTAGGCTGCAGGTCTTTCCAAGAAAAACTGCTTACAGGCCAGACTTGATGTCTTTCAATGAAAACAATTGAAATCTTTTCCCAAATGAGGTCTGAGTAACTTCCACAGTTGACTCTAAAGCGCTATGTTATTTAAAATACAGCTATTCAGGTCTTTAAGGACTTGGGTTCATCTTAGGAGGAAGGGGAAAAGGAGGTGAAGGAAAGATTCATTCCCATGACACAAAGTCAGTCCGTTGTTCCTCAGAGATGGGGAGGAGGGATTAGATCTCCTCTTTCTCACTGCTGTAGGTAATAAGAGCCCCTGAAATCTGCTTAATTTGTTATGCAAGGGAGCAACAGCAAAACCATTTATGTTTAGGCTTCTTGTGTCCATTTTGGCTTCTGTTTTTCAACTGCATGCTAATTTAGACACTAGACAGCTGAATTATTTGTAGCTTGGTCCCAGCCCTGGCCTAGGTATCCTTGCTCCCAGATCTTCTGGAGTTTCTTTCACTTTTCCCCATATAGCTCCTGGATTGGTTTTCTGTAAATTTTAAGTGGGGAAGGAAGGATATCTTTGCAATGCTGCTTATGATACATGAGGAAATTTCAGAGCTAACTGACCATAAAATCACAATGACGTGTTTCTGGCTAACATGCTGTTCTCAGTGACACCAATATAAATCTGGAAACAGCTTCAGCAAAGTGAGTAGAACTGTGCTGGGCTTATGCATCTAGCCAAGACTAGTGTGGCTCTAATTTACCCAGGGAGTCCATGTGCATTTCTGTGTTGGATGGATGTGTAAACAGACAGTGATACTCAAATTTACATAGCCTAGATTCTGGTGTCGGAGTTGAGAACATGAGATTTTTCTCCACTTCTCTTTTAATTCTCATCTAGCCTTATATGAACGCAACAAACTCTTTTTAAAAAAAAATGAAAACAATAACAGCAAGCTTTTTTTGAGTGATAACAATATTCTTACCCCAGTTCTTTATAACTGATAACCAAAACACAACAGTTTGTGCTACAGCTTATAGCTAATCAGTTTTCACCATGCAAATGGAATAGCATAGAAAATGGCATTAAGGAAATTAATTTCATAAATAAAGCAGTCATAATTCAACCAGTAGTTGTAATACCATTAACAAAATCTGCTTTTAAAAACTCAGAGCTCTAGGCCTGTGTTCTGTATAACTCATTGGCCTCACTGGAACGTACTGCTTGACAATGAAAAAGGTAGAATTACAGCCTATTAAGTAGTAATCTATTAACCAAATGCACATAGATGTGTTTGGCACTACAGCACTTCATTGTCACCTGAAGATCTGCTCCGTAGCCTCTACAACCATCTAAAATTATTTGAATGTTAACCTTTTAAAATGTAAGACCCTCAAATGCGAAAGAAAGTCTAATAAAACTGATTTACTGTAAATTAATGTTGCCCAAAATTAGTCTGCACACTGAAAATTAAATTATCCAAAACATCATCTAAACTAAGTCCATCCTTACATAATTAGTATCAAGCCTTACTGAAATGCAGTGTTGATAGGTATTGTGGAGAGCCCAGGCACCAAGAATTAATGAGGGAGCCATAATTTGTAAGTGGAGAATATTTTTAAATTTTCCACAGCTTGCTATAAAACACATGGCATGAAGCTTATACTTTGCTTTTTGGAAACAATTGTGTAACAGTAAATAGAGTGAAATACATAGTGATTGACTACTGTTGTTCATCATCTATCATTTAATCACATATGATATCAATAAAAAGTAATTTTAGGTAATACAATTTTATAGTGGATGGGCGAAAGGATTGCTGCAGCAAGTTGTGTAAAATGCTCTTAGAGTGACAGATAACTGCTACAGGGGACCTAGATTATGGGAGTAATTACAGGAATCTTTTTTGGCGCCATTCCTTCTGGCGATTTAAAAAGTGAAGGGCAGTGACCTCAGCTGTCCATCAGTTTAGGTTCTAGGTCACGCAGGGAGACTTTTGCTGGCCTGACTGGGTCCCATTCTGTTGCTTTGTGTAGCAGACATCTCTCCAACCCACTCTTAATTCAAGTGAGACATGGAACATGACTTCTGTGTTTTGGAATATCAAAAGAAAAAGAAAGAAAAGGAATAAGTCAGCAGTCTCCAAGTAAATGAAGAAGCTGTGGCTCATTCCTGTAAGTTTGGCAGGATATTTCCAAGCTCAAAGAGAAGAGCCAGTGTGGGTTAGCACACTTTTAGGAAAAAACACAATAAAATGATGTCTCATCTCTTCTGTCATCCTTACTTAATGATGTCCTTGAACATCTAGTGTGAAACAGTTCAGCTGTAAGTGCATATTTATGTTGTAAATGTGCTACCTCTTTGCAAGACCAGTTACAAAATCAGGACATAACTTATTCGTCAGCTCTTTTTCCGAAGAGTCTGAGAACAACTGGTTTCAGCTTTTCAATGGAGCTCAGGTTGTTCATGCATTTGAAAACCAGAATGTAAAATTACATCCCCCATTAGAGGGATGTCAACACTCCCTCTTAAGGCGCTCTCAGCCTCTGGTGTTCTGCACAGTTTAATCCTGCGTGGTCCCTGAATTTATGTAGCAACTGTATCCTCTTTTGCGGTAGTTAAATCCTTTTCTGCTCCTCTTACTCTCACGGGTTCCTGTGAGATTTCTCATCTTTATTTTCTTCCACATTCCATTCCTACATGTTTTTTGCAGTGCACCACTAAGTGTCAGGGACAGTGATGTAAGAAGCTGAAATGTAAATAAATGCTGTGTGGTGTTAGTAAACCTTTTCCTCTGAGGGTGCTGAGATGTATAGATCTGTTTTTTGGGGGTTTTTTTTGTTTTTGTTTTATTACACAATAGGATTCGGGTGTTAACTGAAATTGGCAGGATTGCTGTTTAGTCATTTTTTAATGTGCAGGTTACTATAACATATAGTAGAGATGACAAAATTGAAGACACATGATGGTACAGGGAATGTACATGATATGTACAGAATTTCAGTCAGTAAATTGGAACGTTATTGCTGAGTTCAGCATGAAGTACTTCTTTGGTCAGGATCAGTGCTCCTGGCAAAATACCTGTCTCTAGCATGTCTGCTGCATGCGATATTTCAAACCACTAAACATAGACCGGATACAAATCTGTATAGAGAAATATGTTATGTTTAACAAAGAAATATAACGTGGTATTTAGTTGCTGATTGGAGGAGGCAGGTTTTGAAATGATATTTTGTTGAGATTTCTGTGTTGTTCTGTGGTCTTACAGGTCTTTTATGCTTCTTAAAATAAACAACTTTGAGATTCTTCAGAAAGGTTTGAAATCAGGTCCATCTATTTTATTTCATATTAACTACCTATTGTATCAGGTCTCACATAGTTTTATTAAAATTCAAATATTAAAGTGCTAGTATAGAATAGATTATTAATGCCAGATGCAAATTAACGTACTGTGGAAAAGAATCAAACATTTCTGCCTAACTGGCCAAGGCAGAAGTTTCAGCTGATCCAGGTTTGCCTTGTCACTGCTGCAGTGGTGGTGAGCGACACTCACCTGATGATCACTGCAAGCCCACCCTCTCCTGGGGCCATCCTTGGCCTTCAGCTCCCGGTATTTCGGATGGCGAAACCATCATCCATTGGGTATCGTCAGAGCTGCTCAAGAGGAAGCTTACTCTTTTCAGTAAGATACACAAATACGAGTGTAAGAAAGAACAGAACGTGGTATCAAATCACGTAACTGTAACGTCGTATCAGGATGCTAATGCTGAATACAATATTTAATACTAAATTAGGATACTGGTGCCACAAAATGGATTTGCGGTAAATAGTAACTATTGTAGATGGCTCAAATTAGGAGTTTTGCTCAAATATAACCTTAGATGCTATTCATCCTGCTTTGCAAGGGTCTTTTTCTTTCAGTGGTACTTTCTGACCAGAAGTGAACAGCAAAAAATATCTATATTCACATTATTTATTAAGAAACCAAAAATTGCTCATTACACCAAAAAATGAATGCTGCTCATTTGTATCCCCCTTCCCATGGTGTTCATTCTAAACCCTTTCCCATTGTTTTCTTGCATAGCTGCATATATATTCAGTTCTTCCATTTGATATCAGTTATGGTAAACTTTAAGTCCACTGAATTTATTTTTAGCTTTTGCCTATGTGTGCTGCATTTGTAATTATACCTTATTTGAAAATGATTGGGGAAAGCAAAATTTCTGTGTTTTTTGTGTGTTTTTGTGTTGCGTTAACATTTTTAATTGCATCTGTGCTTCAGAAAAATCACATGACAATTTTCCTCATTTGTTTTCTTGTATTATCCTATGCATGTGCTTGATGACCTTTCTTTCAAATAATTTTTACTTTTCTCTTTTGTTTCTCATTTCTTTCCGTCATTTACCTGAATTCCTGCTTCTCCCCTACTCCCCAACCTCTCCTGATTGATGCTTATTCTCCCCGGCCTATTCCAGTTCTCTGCCTCTGAAAGCTTCAAAGAATGACAAATCAAGAAGTTTGAAAAAAATCTCTCGGTAAGAATGAAAACAAGGTGACATATTTTGTTGTCTCTAGAGTTAGCTCGTCTCTACTGTAAGTTGCTGTTTCAGCTCTAATCCAGGAACTGACGTACTTTTGACTACTGCTTTTATACTGTGGGACATTGGGAAACTGTACATTTCTACCTAGCATGTTTAGTTTTATTCTGATGAAGAGTAAATATTTTCACTGGAGAAGATGAAGAGTTGGGCAGAGAATTCTGCATTTGCTAAGATACTAATTTGAAACGTCAAAGCCCAACTCGGCTAAAAATATAGAGGAGTTTAAGCTTCTTGGAGTGAGCTGAGCAAGATAAGTTTAGACTTTATTAAAAGAGTGATCTTTTTCTTTCTCAAGGAAAACTGCATTTTAGAAGACTTTAAATCTTGAGTATCTGTGTCACCTTTGTGTAATCAGTACTCTCAGGCTGTTCTGTCAGGTAGGTAGCGACTGGGCTGAGCTTTATAAATACTTAGAGGTTATATTCATTACTGAGTAGTCCGGGGTTGCAGTTCATGCTTCCTCCTTGTAAGCCCAGAAATGCTACTTGTTTCTCTTAAAAGGAGAGCTTTTCTGCTGTGTTAGGGGAAGTTAATTCCCTAGAACCATGTGATGCCTACCTTATCTAGTGCAGGATTTTATCGCATGTCAGATAAATGGGCCAGTTTAACATTTCCATGAAAGTATAAAGACAGCTGGACCACTGCCTTTACCTTGTAGGGGTTGTATACCTAACAGTGGACTTTGTTGTTTAAAGCACCTGTTGTTCCCCAAATAAGAATAAATCCTGACTGTTCCTGTGCCAAGCTCTATGCAGCTGTATCCCCAAGCACGGCTTCAGTGCAGTGTCCTCTTACAGCCTGTCAGACAGAAGCATTAGAAACCAGAATGAGTCCTGTGGCCTTTCAGAATGGGCTATTGAGGGACTTTCTGGGGCAAGCAGCTCCTTGATAGCCCCATTTATGCCAAATAGGAGCTTCCAGAGCTGTGGAAATAGGATAATTTCTCATTGCACAGTGCTCTTGATTGAGTACTAAATTAACACTGTTTTGTTACTGTTTATTTTTCTGGCTCCCTCAACCAGATATAGGTATAACCAGATTATAGAGAGGCAGCAAGTTGCCTGCAAGAAGGCATTTTTCCATGCATGCAACATCAGAAATGGGCTGTTTGTACTGGCCAGGAGTTTTGGTTATTCTCCAAAGCAACAGGCGCAGCCTGTTCTTACAGACTTGAAGAGAGGGAAATTTCTTTGTGATATCAGTGTGACAGGGATAGCGCTGATGGGGAGGAAGTAACCCCAGCACATCCCAAGGAGATGGCTTTCTGTACTGCTGCTGCTTGCTTGGGGTACTTAATGGTGGATTGCAGGTTTTGTGATGGAATGCTAGCTTTAGGACGCCTTTTTCACCTAGGACAGTGTTGACAGTATTCTTGTTTCATCTGATGTGCTCAGGGAAGGGAGAAATACTCACTTCTAGTAACAGGAAAAAAAAATCTCCTTTTAATGATGTTGCTTTCTCATTATTTTTATCTGTTTATACAGAGACAGGTGTAGACTTTTTTCAAATTTTGAGAGGTGTGTTAATATGATTTGTTAAAAGCACCCTTTGAACATGATTATGTGTATTAACACTGGACTAAGTAAGACTGGATGATACTTAGGAGTGAAAAAATGGAGACTAACTGGGTTGACTTTTAATTTCTGTAAGAGTTCTCAACTCTGACTGTAGCTGAGGGTTAAGTTGACAGGGGGACTTAAACCAGAAGTTTACCATCCTGTTGTTAAATGTGTGTTCTTCCTGCATTGCAGAGACTTCATCAACTACATGAAGCGATCCCGAACCTTTTATGCCTCTATAGCAGAAAGGCTGTGTGATGGAGACCTGGTGATGAGAGACAGCTCAACTTGCTGGAATGGAGAGGATGTCGTAGAAAGGTAAAGTTAAGAGTAAAAGTTTTCCCTGGAGGTGAAAAATGAGATTTCATATCCTCCTGAAGGTTCATAAGTATTCTGAGATGTTATTGTCATCATCAAATTTCACATTCATAGGGAACTTTATGCCTAATTGAGCAAGGGTTTTGCTAACATATCAGGTTATTTAATGTAGAGGTTTAGGCATCTGTATTAAATATAGTGGTATATTTTCTTGAAAGACTGTTTTGAAGAGTCCCTTTCTGTGGGTATCCTCTGTGGCTCAGTAGCTCCCTGACTGCCTGGGCATTCCTTCCAGGCTGGTGTTCATAGGTTTGTTAGTGCAGAGCTGGGCATCCTGTTTGGCTGTTATTAGAAAATACGCAACTCTTTCTGCAAAGGTGTTAGAAGAATAGAGTAGCTGGACTGTTACGTATTTAAAGGATTTCCATGCCACTTCCTTTTGATATTTCTAACGTAGCACTTTGAATAACGACAGCTTTTGGAATTGTCCAGCATCCTTGTGAAAGTGTGCTTTGTGGGAGTTCTTACAAATGACAATTAATAAATACACTGTTCAGGGTGCATATAGCAGCTAGGAGCTCTGTCAGGTGAAAAGATTTTTCTAGTTTGTTAGGTACGTTTTTTTCTCTGTATTTTATCACAGTCTTTCCTGTCACCCTGTAGAGTCCAAACTGTAAAATACACTTGAACCTTCCCCGAGCTACTCTTTTTGCCGTCATTTCTCTTACTGTCTATAACATGAGGCAGCATTGCCCTGAGGAGAAAGAGAGGTATTCGGAATATAACTGTCTGCTACTATCACTGTCACAGTATACGTCAGATTTTATAGTGTGAGCTGGTTGGAAGCTTGCCACTGAATGCTTTTGAAAAATGTCTTTTTGTTGAAATAAAGACATTCCATGGGACTTCTTGGCTTTCATGATATTTCATTTTGAAGTGTATTTTATGGTCTGTAGTATTTGTAAGAGATAAAGTTCTAGCGTTCCATTTTCATCAAGATAGTAGCTTTGAAACAATTTTTGAAATTTTTTTTAGGAAATTGTGAAATAATTCCAACTTGGAATGAAGAAAGATGCAGAATTATAGGCTGTCCCATTAAAAGGACAACTCCGCTTAGAGTTCTAGCGTAAATAACTTCAGGTTAATTATGTCTGAGGTGTTCAGGAGTTAATACATCTAACACATTCAAAGATAACTTGAAAGTTTAATATTTTAGTGGGCATTGGCATTACAGTTAATTGTAGAAGCATGAATTTGATGCTCTGGACAGCAGTGCCGTTTTCTAAATATTAATATATTAAACTTGTAATAATACTAAAGTATTCATCGTAGTAGAGACCAGGGCCAGCTGTAGATAAATGCAGGAGGAACTTGTGACATGGAATGACTAGGCAATAAAATGGCATATGAAATTCAACGCAGACAAATATAAAGTGATTTGCTGAGGAAGAACGTTCCACCTGTTAGGTACAGAACGATAGGCTCCTAGACGGCTGTTCCTGCTCAGGAGCATCAACTGCGTGCAGTTCTGCTGTCCCCCAATCTCAGAGAGACAGCACAAGTGCAAATAACCAGAGGAGAGCGACAAGGAGGATCGAGGGCATGAAATGGGTCCTGTATGAAGGGCAAACTCTTCAGCTTGCCATAGGAAAGATAGAGGGGGAATATGATAGAAGCCTATAAAATCCTGTATCATGGAGATGCTCAATAGGAATTAATTCTTCACTGTCTCTTTCAGTATAAGAATAAGGGACATTGTCTTAAATTCACAGATAACAGAGGGAAAACAAAAGAATATATTTCCTCACATAACTTTTGTTTAAGTTGCAGCAGTGCTTGTCACAGCCATTTGCCACATGCACCTTGCCCCTCCTTGCTTTGGATGTTAAAACTGAAAAAGAATCTAGGCATTCATGAGAGAATTTTAGTTCATAGAGGAGCAAATTGTAAAATGAATGTCTGTGCAGATAAAAGGCAACCAGTCTGCTTTTCTAGAGTAGAAGGAATTCAGTGCTGCATCCAAGCCTTCTTTCTTTAAAAGAGCTGTGACATGCCAATAGAGGGGCATCTGGGATTCTTTTGGATTTCAGGATTAGTTGCGCTGAACTCGAGAGATCATCATTTGTCAAGTATGAGACTGTATTAGAAATAAGAGGTTATAACAAAGCTAAGAGTATAATAAAGCGAGAAATAGAACTGAAAATATACATACATATCAGAGCTCTACAGTTAAATCATGGGGGCATGGTACAGCGACCGCTCTCACCCTTTATGGGCCACCCTTCCCATAGAGCTTTCCCCAGCTTCTCCTCACCAAGCTGTTAACCTCAGGGGAGTCCCCGCTGATGGGTGGGCCCTCGGGTCCCCAGGCCAGCTGAGGGTGAGTGGGAGTCCACAACATAGGTGTATGGCTCACTCTTTTATAGCCAGTCAAAACCACGCTAGCCCACAGTTGTACACAAGCTGTATGGCTCTAGTCAATAGCAGTGTGCATATCAAGAGATAACCTACTGCTCAGTTGATAATAATATGCCTGTTAACAGGTCATTCTGTGGGGAATTCCACAGCACCTAGATGTTTATGTTGTGAGTCTAGGGTGTCACTTCGCCTTTGTTAAGACTTGTCAATCATGGGGTCGTTGGAGGGTGCGCCCCTGGGCTACAGCAACCCCTCAGTGTGGTGACTCTGGCTGTAGTGCACCTGGGGTTTATTATCTCCTGGGGAGCACCCTAGGGCAAAGCCCTTTTCTATGAGCTGCGCCATCCAGAGTCCCGTGCTTGCCTGAGTGGCACCTGACAAGAGCTGAGGCAAAATGTTAGACTAAATGGCAGACTCGTGCAATACAGTGCCCGAGGACTTTCGCCAAAGCACATCTGCAGATTTTCCATTGATATCAGGTTTGCTTCCACGTGCAAAACCTGGATTCTCCTTCAGAAACTTTTTTTTTTAATGTTGGCTTTTTGTGAAGTTTTGGCTGCAGTAGAGTGGCCTTATCAGAGACTGCTCTTTTTCTGCTATAGGAGAGGAGAAAGGAAATGTGATCTCATGGCACACTTTAGGATCGTGTCTGGATACAACAGAGTGGATTAATTCTGATTCAGAAAAAGCACCTTAATGGAACAGTGGGTTGTGAGTACTATATTGAAGTTAGATAATCATTTATTCTTTCTGTCTGCCTACTTATCTATCTTGCAACTTCTATTTCAAGAGAGATGAAGCAATCGTAAATACTGAATAAACGGGAAGTAAGCTGTACACAGAAGAATTAAAACGCTGTGAGTGTAGTTGGTGTTCATTATCGCTAGTGTAGTTGGCTCAGCCAACCTTTGGTCCCTGGATACATTCACCCCTTCCTTCCCACATGTCTGCCATTACTTCTCAGAAGAGGGCTGATTGCAATCTGAAAACCAAAACTGCTGGAGCTTCAAGTCTGGAGTGTGAAAGTTGCTCCGGGGCATGTTCAGCAGCAACCACAGCACTTTCCTTTAGATGTTAGCAACAGCTGTTTCCTTATATGTCAGCTGGACTTCATGACTGGGATCCTGAAGCAAAGGAGATGTCACAGCATTGCTGTGCGTCCCAAGAACTTTGCTGGAAGGGGCATTCTCAGGGCAGCCCCTAGGAACATTCCCCACTTCTTATCACAAAAATGGACATATGCCTTTAGCATGAGCATTCCAAAGACATTCCCATCACATAACACTACTGTGTTGGGATCTCAGGATTTTTGAAACTCACGAGATCTGCTGCTAACTCATGTTAGAGCAAAGCTTATTGTGTGGGGGGATGGTCCCGTGGGTGTGTATGTTCTGTGCTGCTCCTACATAAAATGTTGCAGTTTTATAAGTTGAAATTTTGAGGTTGGCACATGCTAGTAAGAACTGTAAGATTGCTGCTACCATTTCAAATCTTTTCCTTTTAAGGAATGAGCCCTTGTAGTTACTTTGATATATTCTAAAATGTACATTTTCTCTATTGTGACAAGCAAGCTAAAAATAGCTTGAGTCTTATACTAGGAAAGCGTGAATTGGTAAGCAAGAAGAAAATTAAGTGACTGCCTTTGTTAGTGGTGGTAGATGCTTGCAGTCTCTGTAATAAAGCCACTTCCACTTAGGTGCTGAAATACGCTTTTTAGGCTGTGTCTCCACTACTAAGTGTATGCACAATAGGCACAAGTTTGCAGAGTGAAACAGATGGTGCTGATAACCAAACGCCCACGCTCTCTGCAGTTCGGAGGTTTTACTTTGGACTACCTCTAGTCTGGTTTTGTGGAGGACCGTTGGCATTCTTGGAGTGCATGCATCCTTAGTTTCATTGAAAAATAACCTGGCTCTAAGACTGTTCTGCAGTATAAAGCAAAGGGTGGTAAATGGGGACTGTCAGGGGTTTGACCAAAAAGTGAATCCCTGCTCAGAACTAACATGCTAGTATAGACACACCTGGTGGGCACCTGGACACCTGCATTTGAAATTTGGGGTCCAAAACCGTAAGTGCTCCAAGTAGCAGGAACTTAGAGGCTGCAATTGGCATGTATGTTTAAAGAAGCTGCTTAAACAAGTTATAAAATCTTTTACTAAAGTTAGCCTATGGTGACAGTTTTGGCAGTACGCTGCCCCTAGTAGTGGGTTTGGGCAGTGCTTCAGAGCTGTCAGGCCAGGCTGGCTTGCAGGCTTCCTGCTTTCTGAAGAATTCAGCAGAAATTTCTGTCCCCAGAACTGAGCTAGCCTGACTCTGCAAGATTCATGAGCCCTAGGGAGATCAGAGGAGGTAGTGATGTGGCTGCAGGTGGGAACTTGAATCCAAGCTCATGGCTGCATTTGAAGCTATATTTTCCATTTACAGAAAAAAACCTGTTAGAACTATGTCAACCTTCAGGTAAGTCTGCTTAGCAAAAAGGAAAGTTTTCAGAAATTTGGCAGAGTAGTTGTTCCTTAGAAGGTGCAAATCCAAATCATGACCAACGTGTTCATGTGGCTCTTTCTAAGCAAAGGGTCATGAGG